TTCATTTTCAAAACAAACAGATGTAACATACCTGCTGTTAGATAAAACGCTGCCAGCTGCTCTGTGCGCGCGCGATCCCTCGTCATCTTAATCAGCATCATCGGCATGGCCATCGCCAGCATCGCCATGGCCGCTCCCCACCACTATCGTTTTCGTCGTTACCACCACCGTCGTCGTCATCGTCTCCATCGCTGTCGTCACCGATGTCGTCGTCAACATCATCGCACGCCCGCCCGAGTCACGGACCTTCATCAGAAGTACCCTCGCGTCATTGCGACAGTCAGGTCTGCCAACAAGTTGCGGGTGGGCGGGTGGGTGGGACGTTTCCTCGAGCATAAGAGTTGACAACTTCAATGTGTTGAACAGTAGATATATACCATGGGCTGCACCACACGGACCGCGCCTACTAGACTGCACCAGTCACAGATTGCACGTCGAGAGTGCAAGAATCCATTGTTTGGGGTGCTCCCTGGCAAGCCTTTTCCATACCTCTGGAGGCCTCCAAAGGAATCCGCATGCCTCTGGAGACCTCCTTCTCCTCTTCCCAGTTCCTCCCGGTCCATTTTCCCCTCCATCCTCGATGAAGCGGGTGGGTTCACCCGAAATCCACCCGAAGATCACAGGCTTACCGTCTTCAAGTGGCCAAGGCCGATCCAGAGACCCCGAATCCAGAAATGTTGCCGCCTCACGTTTACTTCCGACTCTTTACGCCGGCCTTCCGCCAAAGACGAAATGCGCCGAAAGCGAGGCCATTTCCGGAATGCCCCGCGTACCCACACGTCCGACGTCGCGATTATTCCTCACCCGACAGGTTGGGGCTGCTAGATTTTAAGAACGACCTCCTGGCCCGCCCGCCGTTCATACCGCGGGCGCCAGATCCCCTGGCTCCCGATAATCCCTGGTGGTCCCGCCCCCCCCCGCCCTGCATACCGCGGCCGCCAGATCTCCAGGCTCCCGATAATCTCTGGTGGTCCCGGCCCCGCGCCGACTCGCCCACTCTGCATATCTGCGGCAGCCAGATCCCCAGGTCCCCGGATAATCCCTGAGGGATCCGCCCCCCGCGCCGACTCGCCCACTCTGCATACCGCGGCCTCCAGATCCCCAAGTCCCCCACAGAACAACGCATAACACCACACCACCGAACAGAACATATCCGAGCATAGCATTCCATGCAATGGCAGACCATACCATAACATAGCACACCATGACAGAGCAGTGCATACCATAGCACAGCATCGCAGCACATATCATTCCATACCATGACAAATCAAGTACACCATAGCAACGCAACGCAGAGTTGAACATACCAAAACAGGACATGTTACATTCTCACAAATCATGACACGACATAGCATAGTACAATACATCATGACAACGCATGCTATGACAGATCGGCGGACACATAGCATACCATACCAGAGTATACTAGAACATGGCAAAACAGAGCATTACATAATGTTCCATGGCAGGACAAATCACACCATAACACATCGTCACTGCACGTATCATTACATACCATGGGCGCGGAATCACATGCTACATTCTAGCACAACGCAGCACGGCATACAACCATACGCTATGACACAGTTTGCCACACAGACCATAGCATGACACAATACCTCACGACACAACATAACAGAGCGTATGACAAACCATGACAGAACATATCACATCATAACACACGCCGAAGGCTTCGGTGGGGATCGCTCGAAGCAGAATAATTTTCGCGGCGCGGCTCGCCTTCGGCGGTACCAAAGTTTCATCCTGAACAGTTCTGATAGCCCTGGGGCCCGGTGAAGGCCAAGGGCGTCTGAACATTGCCGACAACCTTCCGCGGTTATTTGTCACAACGCGAGGGAGTCTGGCTTTCGGGCCACACTTGGGCCTCTGGCGGCCGATCGGGGCAACTCCCAGAGCGCCCTCCGCGAGGCGCAGTTCTCGAAAGAAGCATCCCGCGGCGAGAAGACCCCCGAGAGCCGACGAACATGTCCGAAAGCCCCAGGTTGAGCCGCAGGGACAAGGGGGAGGCCTTGCCCTCCTCCTCATCGTCCTCCCCCATTCGGGGGTGGACCGACTAGAAGAAATGACGACATAAAACATCAAATGTTGGCGCTCCGCGCGGACTTCTTGGATCTGCGCTGGACCCCCCTCCCTCACGCGGAACGCGCCAGGGGCGGCGCCGGATGCGCCGCCTGGGGGGCCCAGCGCGGATCTAAGAAATCCGCGCGGAGCGCCCAAAGTGCATGTGTATGCCGTTTGTTGTTCTTCGACGGGGCCATCTTTGACAAACACCTTCGTTAGTGAAAACGACCTTGGACCAGACACAGCGGGCGAAGGCCCGCAGGAACTGCGGCCGCAGCACCCTCTCCCGATCACCAGAGAAGAAATGGACGATTCTTCAGTCGGGCATGACCTCCGACAGTCGGATTTTGGACGAACACCTCAAGAAATCGTCAAACACTATTCAAACATAGCCAAAACAAATAGAAAAAACATCGTCGTAGTACGTTTCGACGATTCTCGAATACTCCTCCTGTAGAGAGGCAGACCCGACTTAAGGCAAGTCGCGGATCGAATCAGCAAGGCTAGGGGGGCTCAACGGCCGGGAAACGCTTGCCCTTCGCGCGCCACGGCGGCGGCCCCGACGACACGCAGTGCCCTTGCGAGCGGAGGGCGCGTCGCTCTGCTCCGCAGGGCGGGAGGCTGGGAGACTCGCCATCGCTCGGACGTCCCTCCCCCGTGCACTCTTGCTCGGCATCGTGCGTGTTTTTGTCTTTGGACGCCCGAAGTGGGTACGGAAAGCATGGGTACAATGCCCAACAACAAATGCTGTCCCAAACCAACAGCGGCCGCTGTTGGGCAGGCGGCCTGCCGTCTCGAGTGGGCACGGGCCGCGGCGGCGCGGACAGCGAGCCCTGCTCAAACGGAACAGGAACTGCTGTTGGGCATTGTACCTCATTCTTTCTGTACCCATTTCGCTCGTACAGATTTTTTGCCAGCGGATCCTCGCCGAGAGAAACGAGGGACCGTTTCTCGCCGCCGAGGGTCCTCTCAAAGATCCTCCTCGAGGTTCCCTCTCAAAGATCCTCCTCGAGGGTCCTCGCCGAGGGAAACGGCCACGCGCCCGAGCGATGCCAAGGGATCCTCGCCGAGAGAAACGAGGAATCCTCGAGGGTCCTCGCCGAGAGAAACGGCCACGCGCCCGAGCGCTGCCAAAGGGAACGGGCTCTGGACGTGGACCCCTGCGGGGGCCGGGCACGCGGCTGGCGCGTCGCGCCGGAGCACGTGGCGAGCCAGGCCGAGCAGCGCGACAGGCTGCGCAAGAGCTCCCCAAGGGCTCCCAACTTCGCGCTTCGCGCTGCGCGAGGCGCGAAGTGCGAACAACTTCGCGCTCTCGCGCCGCCTCCCAGGGTAGAAGGGGAGGATGAGGAGGAATCGGAGCCGAACCGCGAAGCGCGAAGCGCGAATAACTTCGCGCACTCGAGGGCGCCCTTGGTTCCCGGCCGTATCAACCTCCGATCCATCCTGTCGGGTCGGACGAACTTTGGAGATAGCATCAAGGGGGACTACCTCCTAAACCACCCCCAACCCAGCCCGAAGACCCCAAGTTCGGGCTGGCGGGGGGGAAGGGTTCCATGTGTTCTTGTCCGTGTTCCCCGACGCCCCCCCCGCCACTGGAACTGGAGGGCACGTTGGGGCCTTCGGGTTGGGCTGGGGTGGTTTGAGGGGGGTTAAGGGGGGTTGCTGCATCAGCTCAAGCTGCCGATTTCTCACTCGTGTCCTGGCGCCGGAGGCGCCAACTCGTCCAGGAATGCACCCTGCGGCAGAGCCGAAACCGGCCGCATGCAGCCCGTGTCGTACCCCAGCCTCTTTCGTCCGACCCGATGCACCTTCGAAGGCCCGCGCTGTTGGGTTGCGCACAGGCAGGCCCCCAAGTTGTAGTCCCGGCAAGCCTTCACATAGACCCCCCGCCAGAGCGTCCCCAGCTGGCCTGTCCAGGCCAGCTGGGGCACCACGTGTGGGCGAGGCACGGATTTGTCCACATCCACCGCTTGGGGAAGCGAAGCCCTGGGGCACCAGCGGGCGGTGGTTATGGACATGGATACATATATATATATATATCATTGCCCCAAGGCGCACGAACCGATCCATCGAAACATATAAATATACAGTTGCACACATATATATGTGTGGATATATATATATATATGTATAGAGATATATGTGTTTGCATATATATATATATACATATATATATATATATATATATATATATATATATATTCGTGTGTATATCTATACACATATATACATATATATCTATGTATATATCCTTGCCCCAGGGGGCCCGAGCCTATCCATATCCACCGCCTGCCGAGGCCCGCGAAGATCGATCCCACAGGCGGCGGTGATGCATAAATCCACGAATCCCAGCCTCGGACAGGGGGGCCTTGTGGAGTCCAGCCGGGACGACCTGTCGGCCATACGCAAGGGTGACCCTAGGCAAGAGTGACCTTTGGTGCGCGGATTTAAAGCCCTAGGGGGTCGCGGGGACGCCGAATCCAAGTGCGCGGCCCGATGCGGGAGGGACCCCACCAGACTAGAACATCAACTTTCGGTTGGAGCTCCGCGCGGAGCGCCAACAATGTATGTTCATGCCGTCTTTTCTTCTTGAGGTCACTCCGGCGACAGGTCACTCTTACCCTAGAGGCCTCCTGGATGGGGTCCGAGTAGATGAGGTCGGAGGATCTCGCCGCATCGCCGATACATCATCGGGCGACACATCGGCGATACATCGGCGATGCACTGGCGACGTCGGCGTTGAGAAAATTGGGCCCCACGTCAAGCCGCATCGCCGACGCATCGCCGATGCATCGGCCATGCGGCACGATCCTCTGGCCCCGTCTACCCCGACCCCATCCCGGAGGCCTAGATACGCGCAGCCGATACCTGGATGGGGGGCGGCCCGTGCGCAGCCCGGGAGCCCTGCCGGCCCGCGCCTTCTTCGCCTTCTCCTTCTTGCGGGGCATGGCGGGCGCCAGGCTGCCCCCGCGAGCGCCGCGGGCGCGGGCTCGCCGCCCGGGGGCTTTTTCGGGCCGGAGCCACGCGCGCTACGTGTACTGCTGCCGCCTTCCAGCTCCTCCTCCTCCTCCTCCTCCTCCTCGTCCTCCTCCTCATCGTCCTCCTCCTCGTCCTCCTCGTGCTCCTCCTCCTCTTCGTCCTCCTCGTCCTCCTCCTCCTCGCCCTCGTCCTCCTCGAGCAAGGGCGGCGGCACCTCGAGCTCGGCCCTACTGCGCCGCGGCGCCCCCCCCCCCCGCCTCGGGAACAAGGACAAGTGAAGGGGCCCTGGGACACACAAATAAATGCACACAAATATCAGGATTCCCTATATTTTCCAATATTTTCTGGGTTTTTGTCTTCCCCCCGACTTCCCATATTTTCCCATATTTTCTGGAGAATCGACGATGAATTGTGTCTGTGTGTTTTTCCCTCCTGAACAAAGGACGCCACCACCACCAGGGACCACCAGCGGGTTCGAGGAGGCTCCAGGAGGAGGAGGAGGAGGAAGAGGAGAAAGAAGAGGAGGACGAGGAGGAGGAGGAGCGAGGATCGAGGAGGAGCGAGGATCGAGGAGGATCATGGAGGATCGAGGAGGAGAAGGAGGAGGAGGATCGAGAATCAAGGGGGAGGATCGAGGACCGAAGAGGAGCTACCGGTATCCTCCCCCCCACCCCCCGAGAGATGAGACGCGGCTAATGAGGGGGGGAGGCGGCGCCTCCCCGCCGCGGGGCTGGGCTCCGACAGGGGTGCGATCCCCCGTGAACCGAATGGCACTTGCGGCGTGGCGTCCCAGGCAGACTTAAAACTGGGCCTCGCCTAGCAGCAACAATGCATAAGCGTAAACTGCTGGAGCCCCGCGCGGATGTCGTGGATCTGGGCTAGGGCCCCCTCCGTGGCGCGCGGAGCGCGCCAGGGGCGGCGCTGGAGGCGCCGCCCGGGGGGCCCAGCGCGGATCCAAGAAATCAGCCCGGAGCGCCAACCTTTATGTTTATGCCGTTTTTTTCTTCTGCGACATCCGTGAGGAACCCAGATGTTTCCACGCGTGTTTCCCGAGGGGCGTCCCCCTGGTGGTGTGCCCCCCCCCCCGCGCGAGACGTTCCGCTTCCCAAGCTCGGAGAGGTATCGTGGACCTCCTCGCTGGAGGTGGCCCCCTCTTGCCATCGCTCGGACGTCCATTCCATGAGCATTTGCTCGATTTCACGTGTGCATCTTTTTGACAAGGTGATCCGAGATCCTCCGCGATGGTCCTGGCAGAGAGCAAAGGCACACGTCCGAGCGATGCCAAGCCCTGGTGGTGGTGCAGAGGCCTCCTAGACGGGGTCCGAGTAGATGGTGTCAGCGGGTTGCACCGCATCGCCGAAGCATCGGCAATGCATCCGGCGTGGAGAAACTCGGGCTCTTCATCGAGCCGCATCGCCGATGCATCGGCGCTGTAGCACGATCCTCCGAGGCCATCTAGAATCGGACCTACGCCAGCAAAACATCTTTCAAGAACATTTGACCCTCCGCCGGCCAACATGAAGAGCATTCGAGGGTAGCTTCCCCAGGACGCACAGGAACGTCCAGCAAACACAAAGAACATCAGGGCACCCTCCTCGAGTCGACCTCGATCTCAGACCTCGGTCCGGCTGCACTCTGACCCCATCTGGGGGGCCCAGATTGCTGGAGGTGGCCCCCCTGGCAGTGGTGGTGTCGCGTCTCCTCCCCCCAGACGCCTTTTTTCTCCCTGGCCGCCCGCCCCGCCACGCGCGAGGGGCGTTGGCCAGCTTCTCCCCGCGGCCTCACCGCGCCGGGGCGGGGGCCTTTCGCGGCGCCGCCGTGGGGGGGGGGAGGCGATCTTGATTCTTGTGTGATATACGCATATATGGATGTATGTCTGTCTGTCTGTCTGTCTGTCTGTCTGTCTGTCTGTCTGTCTGTCTGTCTGTCTGTCTGTCTGTCTGTCTGTCTGTCTGTCTGTATGTATGTATGCATGTATGTATGTATGTATGTATGTATGTATGTATGTGTATATATGTGTGTATGTAAGTGAGTCTGCTTACATGTACATATGTATACAATACGAATCGAATGCATACGAATAACACTATGACTCCAACGTCTACTGCTACTGCTACTGCGACTACGACTACGACTACGACTACGACGACTACTACTACTACTACTACTACTACTACTACGACGACAACGGCGACGACGACGACTACTACTACTACGACTACGACGACGACACTACTACTACTACTACTACTACTACTACTACTACTACTACTACTACTACTACTACTACTCCTACTCCTACTACTACTACTACTACTACTACTACTACTACTACTACTGACTACGACTACGACTACGACTACGACTACGACTACGACTACTACTACTACTACTACTACTACTACTACTACTACTACTACTACTACTACTACTACTACTACTACTACTACTACTACTACTACTACTACTACTACTACTACTACTACTACTACTACTACTACTACTACTACTACTACTACTACTACTACTACTACTACTACTACTACTACTACTACTACTACTACTACTACTACTACTACTACTACTACTACTACTACTACTACTACTACTACTACTACTACTACTACTACTACTACTACTACACTACTACCTACCACTACTACAACTACGACTAGCAGCAGTACTACGACTACCTACCGAAGTCACAACAATAACAATGAACACGCATAACGCTACGACTATCAATAATAAGACAACTCAGCAGGGGGAGATGTTGCTGGATGGATCTCTCAAGCTCCCCGCTGCCTCAAGCGGTGGCGTCCAGAGCTGGAGCGCAGCAAAGCCGCAGGCGGGCGTGCCACTGACAGCGCAGCTCCGCAAGCGTGTCAAATGCTCCAGCGAGCAAGAGCACAGCAGTAACGCACAAGGACAGCGAGGCATCGACAGTGCAGCTCAGCATCAACACAAATGGCCAGGGAGCCCCCGCGACATGTCCACGGGGATGAGGAGAGAAGGATCAAGAACATAGGATTCTGGGACTACAGGTTGGACTCGCGGGCGCCCGCGCTTGTGCACGAGGTCCAGGCAGAGAAGGGAGAAGGCCACGACCTACAACGAAAAAAAAAGGGAGAGAAGGCCGAGGCAGGCGAGGGAGAGGGAGAAGCGGATGCACTGAACAGCACTCGACGAAAAGAGGAGGAGTGACAAGTGGGGGTGCGCAAGCAGCGTGCGCGAAACGTTGCGGGGGGGCGGTCCTCCTCCCGTCGCTGAGCGCTGCTGTTCTTCGCTTGGCGCTGCTGCTCTCCTGAATCCTGGCCTCCTGCCCCAACCGCCGCCGGCCTTCCCCCAGCCCCTCATGCAAGGGGGGGGGGACTGCCTGGGGGGCAGAATGGGCCACGGCAGACGCGCGCGCGCGTCGGCCCTGCCCCCCATCGCGCTCCAGGCTTTCCAGTGCAAAATGGGCCACTCGTGCATGGCGCGCGCGCGCGCCTCTGCATCGCCCCCCCGTCGCACGGCTCTCCCCTGCAGAATTGGGCCCCTCGCGATCGGGTCCGCCGCGCCCGCGTCGGCCCCCGTCCCCTCGCGCACGGGGCTCTTCCGGTGAAGCACGTCGGCCCTGAGCCCTCGGGCACGAGGCTTGCCCATGCAGGGTGCGCCAGGGCCGACGCGTTGCGCACGTCGGCCTCGCCCCCTCGCGCGTGGGGCCTGCCCGTGCAGAGTGCGCCATGGGCCGACGCGCGCGCACGTCGGCCCTGCCCCCTCGCGCACGGAGCTTTTGAAGGGGCCCAGGGACACACAAATAAATACAAAAAAATACCCATATTCCCTATATTTTCATATATTTTCTGGGTTTCTGTCTTCCCGCCCACTTCCCATATGTTCCCATATTTTCTGGGGAATCGACGATTCATTGTGTCTGTGTGTTGTTTTTTCCCCTCCTGAGCTTGCCCATGCAGACTGTCGACCCGCGGGCGAGTGGAGGCAAGCCGAACTCGTGGGACCGGCTGCCCCAGAGGAGTCGCAAGCAGAAGCGCAAGGCCAGAACTCCTGGATACATGACGGCAGCAGCGGCGACGACCGAAACAACCGCACTGGTCCGTACACACAAGCCCAAATCGAATATTATGTGTGGTCCTCTTGGCCCTGTTGGTCCGGTGCAATTTCGACGTTTCTGGGCGGTGTTTCAACGCACTCCACACTTCCCTGTGCACAAGCGCTGTCGCCGCCGCCAAGCTGCGATGGGAAGCAAGAAGGGAAGGACATCATCTTGATGAACCATTACCCCCCGTTCCCCGTTCCTCCGCGCACTCGAGGGCGGGGCGCGCGATGAAGAGCCGACGCCGGGAGGCCGTCCGGGCAACAGTGGTCGGCGTTGAACGCTGCAGTGCTGCGCTGGTTTCCTTAGGCAGACCGCGGCCCAGACATCGTGTCGAGGGACAGGGTAAGAGCCACACCGTCGTCCGTACAGATCCCCTACTACCAGAGATTCCTACTTTGCCACCTAGCGGGCCGATGGCCGGCCGAAGCGGGAGGGTCCAGCCTACCCAACGAGATAGCAATGCAACGTGTACGTCTGCCCTGCCAGCACGGACGCTGTTTTGTCAACGCTGCAAGATGAGTGGCGAGTAGTGGGGGCGGGGCGCGCACCTTACGCGAAAGGGCGAGATGTCGCCCTCGCCTCGGCGAGAGTTGAGCTCCCGCCCGCTCGACCGCGGCGCACACTTCTGGCACGTCACTTCGTCGACGCGCGAGCGACCGAACATGCCGTCCTCGTCCCGGCGCCGCGCAGACGTCGCCTGAAAATGGCATTGCCGCCTCGGCGCAGCACACGTTTGTCACTCGCCAATTTTCGGCTCAAGATTCGGCATAAGTGGGCTCAAGAGCACAAGTGGGCTCAAGGAGCCACCTTGTTACCACGGCTGGACGCAGCTCGAAAATCCTGCACACACTAGTGCGCTGACAAGCACGACGTGGTTCTGGAGATACTGGCGCAAGGTGGCAACGCCATCAAGCACATCTTGTTGCGGAAGTGCAACGACGTGCCGCAGGGCGGTCGTTTCCCTCGAGACTGGAGTGAGCTTATCTTTGTGATGATGCCGAAGAGTGGAGACCTGAGGGACGCGCAGAATTGGCGGTGGGTAGCCATCCTCGATGTCGTTTATACAATGTTCGCCAAGATGGTTCACAAGCGCCTCCTCCCTTATCTGGACCCGCAAAGCTCAGATGAACAGATGGGTTTCCAGACAGCTTGCGGAGTCGACGAGGCATTGATGGCCCTAGAGTGCATGACCGGGGCATGGTTGGAGTGGCATCTTCCGCTTTGGGTGCCAACCGTGGACCTGCGCAAGGCTTTCGACACGCTCGAGCATAATGCTTTGCTGGGCTCGCTGACAGAGCTCGGATTGCCAGACAAGTACATTGTCCTGCTGAAGTCCGTACATTCAGACCAAGTGGGCATTGTCGACGGCACCACGTTCGCGATCTGCCGCGGAGTCACACAGGGGGACATATTAAGCCCGCTTTTGTTCAACGTAGCAACCGAAGTAGTCATGCGCCGGTGGAAGATGCGCTTGCGTGCTGAGCATGGCTTCCAACTTTCCGGCGACGCTGCTGACCGGCTGACGAACGTCCGTTTCGCGGACAATCATATATTGTTTGCGAAGTCTTTCTGCGAGGTCGAGGAGATGACTGTGCTGGTTGTGGAGGAGTTTGCCGAAGCTGGGCTTGTGGCAAATGGATCCAAAACGAAACTTCTGACCACGGATGCCGCAGTACCCTCTGGACCAACACCCCTGCTCGTGGACATCGCGGGCATGTTCGTGGAAGTCATCAAGGCAAGTTCTTCCCACAAGTATCTTGGAAAGCCTTTGCCGGGAGATCTGACTTCGAGGGGGCAGAGAAATATTGATCATCGTCTGTCGTGTGCTCGGATGCGTTTCCATGAGCTGCGCCACACCTTGCTCAACCACAAGATTCTGGTCAAATTGCGCCTTCGATTGTTCGACGCTGTCGCCAGCCCAACAGTCTTATATAGCCTATCAACAACTCCGCTTACAGCATCGCAGTTGGAGAGACTAGATGGAACACATCGGAAGATGATGAGACGTATTGTGGGCTGGGTGAGACACGACGAGGAGGAATGGAATGTCACTGGACGTCGCATGAAAGAACGATTGGATTCTGCGTGGGACAGCGCTCGCGTGGCGTTCTGGAGCCAGGCACGCGGCAAGCAACGGCGAAGACTGATTGACAAGGTCACACATCGACCGGCAAGCATCGTCTCTCGCGTGTATCATTGGTCACTCCGGCCAACTGTGCATGGGCAGGTAGCTTAGAGGAAGCGTGGCCGTCCGGCGTGCAGATGGACGGACGGCGACTGAGTGATGGCATTCACGGGCGCGTGTTTGCGGGTGTGCTGTGGTGTCGTGTGGTGTTGTGTGCTGTTTGTTGTTGTTGTTGTTGCTGTTGCTGTTGCTGTTGCTGTTGCTGTTGTTGTTGTTGTTGCTGCTGCTGTTGTTGTTGTTGTTGTTGTTGTTGTTGTTGTTGTTGTTGTTGTGTGTGTGTGTGTGTGTTGCGGTTGGCCGTGTGGTGCTGCGTTGTGGTGTGGTGCGTGTTGTTGTTGTTGTTGCTGTTGCTGTTGCTGTTGTTGTTGTTGTTGTTGTTGTTGTTGTTGTTGTTGTGTGTGTGTGTGTGGCTGTGCGCGTCGGGAAATCTGTGCATGCTATTTTCCTCCTCCCGTGTCCTGTGCAGGCCCGGCCCTGCGGCCGTGCGGGCTCTGCCCTGCTCTGCTGCGCGCAAGCTGGCGACCTGTCGCCCTCGCCCGGGCGCCGTGCGCACTTCGCTCGGGCACGGCGCTCCCGCGTGGGCGCGGCGCATGTGAAGGGAAACTGGGACACACAAATAGATACACAGAAATAAAAGGATTCCCCATAGTTTCCTATATTTTCTTGGTTTTTGTCTTCCCCACCACTTCCCATATTTTCCCCTATTTTCCTGGGGATCGACGATGAATTGTGTCTGTGTGTTTCTTCCCCTCCTGAGCATGGTTCGTTCGCCGGACTGCACGACACTGGCAGCGGCAGCGGGGCCGCGCGACTGCGGACGAAAAGCTGGCTTCGCCAAAGCGCCGCTCAACTGTGGCAGCGCTCTGTCGGCGCGGCGCGAGCTTCATCTCCGCCGCTCTCATGGGAAGCTTTGCCGCTCCCGCCCCTTTCTCGGTGCGCGAAGCTCGGGCCAGGTCGTCGGAAACGGGCCCAAGCGCGAGCGCCGTCGGTTTGCCAGGCGGGAGCGCATTCCCCAAACCCGAGACCACATGTTGTGCCACACTTGGCTATTAGGTTAGGGGATGGAGGGTTGGATTGGGAGGGGCCGGGCCCTCTGACTCCTACGGTCAGGTATCTATGGATAGCGTGTATTGGGAAAAATGTCTATACACGCTAAGTGTCTTACACTTAGCGTGGAACCTAGTTCGCCTCACTTAGCGTGTTTTGGGAAGGCTGTGGACGTCCTTGGGAAGGAAGGCTGTGGTGAGGAAGAGGTGGAATTGAAATTTGGCACATTCCTACGCATCCCTTTCCAGCTCCTTTCCGCGCTCCTGCGCATCCTTGAAACGGGCGGCTGAACGGGCGGCTGCGTGGAGAAAGAGCAGTGGAGTGGAGTGGGGGGAGAACGAGGGGATCCGGGTGGAACCGAACCTGCGTCAATCTGGCGTGGTCAAACGAGTCGCTAAGTATGACTGTTACAGCGGTTAACGACCATTGTCTTGAGGGAGTAGACAAGAAAGTCAGAGAGTGATAGAGTGAGAGAGGCTTACAAATTTAGCGTTGAAAATGATGTCAACCATCAGACATCGATGCCTAAGCTCCTCAGCATGTCGGCCGTCTCGTTGAGCCACGCCATTGCCTCCTCCCGAGTGTTGAAGGTGGCGGACTCGTGGGTGCGGACGTCGCTGACCTAAACGCGCGTGCGATCAGGAATCCAATCGAAATCGGTCGTGATCGATTCGCCCGAGGTCCCAGGAGCCTAGAAGGCACCAAGACCGCAGGCGCCGACAAGCAGGAGGAGGGGAAGGATGAGGGCGGGAGGGGGAGTGGTGAGCAAACGGGAGGGAGAGTGGGAGGGCGCAGGGCAGAGGCCCAGATTAATTCCTGATCCAGGCTAGTCGAGTAAGTCTGCGACCCGGGGGTGCGGGAAGCGGGCCCGCCAGACGTCCTGGCCCGCCGCGTTGGGTTTCTCGCGCTTCCAGGCGCACGCCCACCGGGGCAAGCCTGCGGGGTCGCGGAAAGAAAACATAGCGTGTATTTGGGCCCTGGGTTTCTTCAAGCGTCATCTGACGAATGTTTCCGCCTCCAGCTATATTCCTCTTCCACTTTCCCTCCACCGCCATCGTCCTCGCCGCGACGGCCCCCCTGGGAGCCACGGCGACGGGGAGATTCACAACGGGGCCCTCGACGAGTCCTGGGGCCATCGACGCGCCCCAGGGCCGCCAATGGATCTTGTTACCCCTGGCCTGTTGGGCCAGGATTGTGTATGTTTGGGCGCGCGGAACCTCTTTCGGCAGTTTTCGGTTCCTCGGAGCTTCGCATGCCTATGTTTGGTTGTTCTGGGGCTGCCTTCGTCCACGTTTCGGCGGTCGCGGCATTTTTCAGCCGCTTCGAGAGGGAAACCGACATGGACCATTCCATTGGGCGTTTATCGAATGAGTGAGTATTTACCTAACAGCTTATGTTGATAGGTATCTAGTGGCGTCAAAAGAGAGCATCATGACACTCCAGGGGGGTCCGGGCGGAAGCTGGCAGAAACCATGCTGGACTCTGGCTTATACAAGTCAGACGCTGCTAAGCTATCTCATGCTACGCTCCCTGACCCACGAAACATGACCCGTCAAGTTTGAATTCGGGAGTTCCTGGAGGGTTCGAGGGTCTTCAGGGGCGGGGCGACGGGCTTGTAACGCCGAGCCTTTGGGCGACCCAATGTCCTCGGAGCAGTACTTCCGGACCTCCCCGTTAGAAGCGGCGATGTACACGCGCCCGCCGTAGCCCATGATCATATCCACCGCATCGTCCGCGAAACCATCGCCTGTAGGCAGTTGCGCCAGGTACTTCTTGAGCTTGATGTTGTTTTCTGCTGCTGCCAGTTTTAGCCATACCATCGAATCACCATCGCCGTCGTCAGGGGGTTCGTCCTCGCTGACATCGGATCTGGAGGCGTCCTGATCGCTGACGTCGCCGTCATCGAATTCAGGGAGTGCGCGTTCGTCATCACCCTGATCGTCGTGGCCTTCTGGCTCAGGCTCAGGGTCGGAGACGGCTTCGCCGTCATCAATGTAGGCCTGGAGGAGTTCCTGCTGGCGCCAGGCTGGCAATCACAGGGAGGGTGAGGTTGTGAGAAGGCGCAGCCAGTGAGGAGCAGGGGAGGAAGAGGAGGAGAAAGAGGATAGACAGGCCAAGTGCATGTTGGAGTGGCATTTTTTGGCCGTCCTAGAGATCCCGGGAATTCCCAAGATTTCCTCGGAGGCGTCCAGAGTGTCCTGAATTTGCCTGGAGAGCCACGGGGGCTCCTTGGACTCCCTGGAAACGTGTTTGGCGCCCTGATCTCCTTGAGCTTCTCATTGTAAGTCTCCGACGTGATATCAGTATTCACGGTTGGCAATTCTGGCAGGTCTGCCAGCTGCTTGAATCCAATGGTGTACGTTCTGTCTCCAGCCCCCCCGGGGCCCACAATCAGGGTCGGAGGCTTCTTGCAGTTGACTCTCACAGCGATCAGGTGTTGGTTCTGGTATTTTTGAGACATCCCAACAAGGGAAGTAACTGGCCACTTAATGGAGGTGTCGAAGATCCGCCCGCTGGCGTTTGCCAGCCGTGCCGTAGACGTACGTATGCCAGCCAGCCTCCCGCGCGATAGGGTCCATAACAAGTTTTCTATCAGCCGCGAGTCCTCTCGAGCGGCTTCCTAGAGCTCAGATTTGCGAGGATCGGCCCGAAGGTCCAGGGCACCGAGAAGTAGAAATACAGCCTTTTCCGAAGGTCTGGAGTAAGGTCCCTACGTATGAGGTCCCCGCTCCCCAGGGTCCGCGGGCTTGGCGAAAGCAATCCAAATCATCAATTTGATGGAATTTCTGGCGTTCTCCATCTCACGCATCTTCTCGGCGGCATTATCGCGCGATGCTTTTGTCTTCCCGTCGTTCTGCTGTTTTTCCCAATGCGATAGTTTGGCGTGGTACTGGCGCGGCGCGATCCTGACAGGAGTAAATATCCAGCGTGGTATCATCGTTTGCCTCCCCGATGGGTCGATTAGCACTCCGATGCGCGGGCGCTCGCCAGGCTGCGGCTCCTCCAGCCATGGCTCCACCGCGTGCGACGGCAGGGGCACTTCGCAGGCGCCTTTCTCTGCCACTGCCTGGTCAAGATTCCTTAGCACGTCCTCGCGGGATTAGCGCAGCAACGGGGTGGACGAGGCAGAAAGAGCAGGACGAGTCAGAGTGAGGAGTGGGCAAGTGGGCAGGGGGATTAAGACGAATGAGGAATACAATAGATGAGGAGATGGACAGAGAGGAGGGCGAGGAGGAGGGTGAGGGTGAGGACCCCATTGCATGCCAGGAGGGGCCTGGATACTTTCGGAAACCTGTGGGAACCTTCGCAATATTCAGCTCTCATGCGACACTGATGGCTTTTCTTTCACGGCCGATGCATATACACGCTAAGCGCCCTCATCCTCCACATCTTCCTCACCACTGGGGGCGGGGCGTTTCCCCAAGTACTGGCGCAACGCGTGGTGCAAACATATATTCTCTTTCCTAACGGTATCGTGAGGATCGTGCAGCGCAGAGCTTGGCCCCCCCCTGTGGTACGGAGCCTGCCCCGCACAGCATGCTCATTTCTGCGGTGCGGATCTTGCCCCGAGCAGCACGCCCTCTGAGAGCAGTACCTGACAGGGTGAAGTAAAATCGCGCCCCAGCTTGGCGTGCCCTGGAATACCCCCATCGGCGCTTGCACGTCAAGAGGTGCAACCTTCTGAGGGGACAGGCTCTTTGATCCACGGTGCGCTATCCAAGCAATCCCATGCCCTGAAGGAACAGGAGGAGGAGGAACTGGAGGAGGAGGAGGAAGAGGAGGAGGAGGATCTCCCGCTTCCCGATGGCGCCGTAGGAGGATCATGCTTGGCTGTAGCTGTTTGTTTGTGTTGGTGTTGTTGGATGTTGTGAGGGCTTCGCGGGTCAGGAGAGTTCGGGGGACCCTCGGAAATTTCGGGATTCCCAGAGATCCTCGCAACCTCGAAATTTCACGAAACACGGACGGATGTTATTCGACGGCCGATGCATGTACACGCTAAGCGTCCTCATCTGTCCCCGTGCCCCCTCATAACCTTCTCCTCAGAGCTACGCGTTCTCTTCGTATAAGAATTGGCGTGAACTGGGGTCCAAGCCATTGTTTTTTCCGAACGGTTTCGTGAGAAACACGGTCAGTAGAGACAGGCTCGTTGGCCCCCATTTTGCTATCCAAGCCAGCCCGTGCCTCGGCGCCACTAGCCCTGTCCGCGGCGGGGGGTCTCCCGTGGAGAATTTGGCCCCGATTCCCCACCAGAGACCATCCCCCGCGGACAGGGGGCCCGACGCCATGCCAAATCCAAGGCCCGACACCATGCCGAACGGGACCGCCGCGGACGGGGCCCGACACCATGCCAAACGGGACCTCCGGGGGCGGGTTTTCGAAGGCCCGACACCATGCCAAACGGGACCTCCCGGGACCATTACTACCCAAAACTTCAAAAAAAACATTAGAAATCATTAAAATATGGCCAAAATCGCAAAAACAAAAAAAAACACTGGGGCCCAGGAGGCTCCCAAGATCGCACCAAGACGGCCCAAGAGGCCCCCAAGACGGCACAAATACGGCCCACTTGGGCTCCAAGAGGGCACGCTAGAGGCCCAGAAACGGCCCAAAATAAGTGGGCAACGGCTTCTGGAGGCAATCCGTCTCTGGCAAAGTTGCTGGAGGGCAGGCGATGCTTCCGAAAGGGCGCCCAATATAGCCCCCAGACGGCCCAAGAGGCCTCCTAGGCGCCCGAAGAAGCCTCCAAGAGGCTTCCCAAGAGGGCCGCAATCAGGAAAAACGTAAGTTTTCCCTTGGGTTTTGAGCGTTTTTGGGGCTCCCGCGTTTTTGGCTTCTCGATGCTCAAGACGGCCCAGGAGGCCCCCAAGATCGCACCAAGACGGCCCAAGAGGCCCCCAAGACGGCCCAATGACGGCCCAACAGGGCCCCCAAAGGGCACAATAGAGGCCCAGAAGCGGCCCAAAATAAGTGGACAACGGGTTCTGGGGACAGTCCGTCTTGGAGCCTTCTGGGGGCCGTCTTGTCGGCCGTATTGGAGCCCTCTAGGGGCCGTCTTGGAGCCATCCTGGGGCACTCTTGGGGCGCTCTTGAAGCCTTCATGGGACCTGGGAGCGCCTCTAAACAGCCCGAGTGACGCAGGGTCTCCAGGTGACTTTCGCGACCTCGGAATGTCATGAAACATTGGCGGATCTTCCTCAACGGCCGATGCATATACACGCTGAGCGCCCCGTGGCAGGGTGGGTCGGCAATGTGGCCGTCACGTCTACATCGTCACCCCGTTCCCATTTCTCGTCTTGGTTGCATTCCCGTTCCTTGAGGCTCGTGTCGCCCGCGTGGACAAGAGGGACCCTGGCTTCGTCACGCAATGATTTGAGCACGCTGTCGTAGCTGATGTTGGGGTTCTCCTCCGCCATCAATTATGCCTGTTCCTCCGCTGATATAAGTAACCTCGACCTCCAGGCGTGCATCAACATGTTCCTAGACAGGTTCAGCTGCGCCTTAGTTGCCCGCGCCACCAGAGCGGGAGCAGGTACGGGCGGGCAGACCGGGCCCGCGCGCAGCGCGTAATTAACCGTCTGCGACGGCGGGGGGGGGGGGAGGTAAATAGTCTCAGCTTTTGCG